CTCTCTCGAAGTAACCGTGGGGCGCATGGCGTCCCCGCGGCCGAGACGAGACTAGGGGCCGCGCTGGCTCCCGGGCTCTTGGTATCTCTGGCGCTCGTGGCCGCCTGCTGCTGGAGGGCGGGCGTGGGGGCCGTGGCGTCTCCGCCCTTCAGGGTATCCGCTATTCGACAGCCGCTCGGGCTAGACGGGATCCTGGAGCTGAGACCTCAGGGTCGGTGGTGGTCTCAGGGTTCAAGGTGACCCTGGGGCTCCCGGTGTGCCTCGTTCTTTCCAGGGCCCCTGAAACAGTTTCGGCGGTCGCCCATCTTGGGAGACTGAACCACCGGGAATGGCTTTCCCGTGCATGCGCCCTCGCCTGGCGGCGTGGCGGGCCCTAGCGCCAGGAGATGTCTGTCTGGCCACATTTTGTTTGTTTGTTTGGCCTTTGTGCAGTTTGAACACAGCCGTGTTAAAATAGGAAAGCAGTTTGACTTAGGCGTTAGGGGAAGAGCGAGTCTGCACGGTGCCGCAGCAAATTTCAGCCGCGCCGTGGTTTCTCGTGCCTCTCAGGGCTGCCGGGCGGGCGGGGAGCCTTTGAAGCCTGACCACCTGTGAAGGGCTTAGCGCTGATTTTCTGGGCGGAGTCGCTCATTTTCCATCCTTTCCTTCGGTGGCAGAGGCGGGTGGGGCTGAGGAAAGACCCAGACTCTCAGACTTTCATGGAGTTTTTAGTTTAAAGATCTGACAAACTTGAGAGTTGCTTCAGACAGCGTCTTTTGAGATTGCGATGGAGTTGGGGTTTTTTTCCTCCTTCTTTTCTTCAGTACTTAGAGCCTTAGCACTGAGCTGCAACCCTTTTAAAATTGTATTCCCCCACGTCCGTTTAAAAATTTTTATTTCGAGACAGGGCGTCTCCCAGCGTGCTGGGATTGCTGGCGTTCGCCTCCACACTAGGCTGAGAGGTAGATTTTGCGGCTTTCGTGGGAAGTGCGTTTGGTTTTATTGTGAATGCGTTAATGAAGAGGAAGAAAGTAAAGTTGTAGTTGCTGTAGAGACGACCTCGTGTATTGGCAGATGCTAGAGTCAGAAAAACTGAAAAATGTGGGGATCCTGTAAAGTGAGGGAAACTTCGAAGTGTGCTCCAGGGAACCGCCAGGTCGTTTCATAGAAAAAGCACTAACTTTGGAGCAAGTGCTGGGCTGCAGCTGCTTTAATCCCGCATTTGGTGTACTTTATTAGGCTCTGACGTTGGATATGGACAATGGAAGGGCTACTTCTGAGAGTCCTGCCAGAAGATTTAGAAAGTTATTGGTTGTTGTATTAACACATGGTTTTGTTTCTTTAAATTGGCAATTGGGTTGGGGATGGTGTAGCTTAGTGGTGGAGTGCTTGCCTGGCACGTGAAAATGCCTGAGATCCCCAGCGCCACAAAAAGGGGGAACAAAAAAAGAATTTTCAGTGGCATAGGTGTAAGATCCTGGCACAGTCAGCCAACCAATAAAACATGTGGAGCAGAAAAGCTTCTAAATTTTATGTCTTAAATTTTATTTGTGGAAGTTATGTGAATACCTAAAGGAATAAATTGGAATTTTACTAATTTACTGAGAAACTTCAGTGGTGTTGTCAATAGCTTTACTAGCCCTAGCTTGAAAAATTTGTTGATACACGAATGATTTTTCAGTGGTCTTTTAAAATTTTCTTCTGTAAAGTTTATCGTAGAGAACTGACAGAGGTCCAGTGAAGATAGTAGTTTTGCTACTCAGAGATAGCCACCTAGATAACCATTTTATATTTTCGTTGACCCTCAAAATTAGCATTATAATGTATTTTTTCTGTTGTGAATCATTTCCCTCTCTTTAACATTATTTCACAAGCATTTTTAATATCAAAACATGTTCATTGAAAACATGCTTCTCATTGGTTATATACCATTATATCTTAGGGAAATACCTTAATTTATTTAATCTTTAATCCTTTTGTTTACATTACTAGGTAGTTTCTAATATATTTTTTTCCTAAGAGAAGACTGTTAGCATTCAGAGTGACTCTTCAAACCAAACCTCACATTTTAGGAATGAGAAAATAGAGGCAGAAGACTTGATCTGTCTGTTCCAAAGATTATACCTTTGTATAACTACAGAACTTGAATCAGAACTTTCCTTATGTGATTATGTGAGCCCCATTTAGTGCCCTTTTCATACCACCACATGCACCTCCACATTAGCTAATTACTGTTTTGTTTTGGCCTCTTTGAAATAAATATGGGAATCCAGATTATGATGCAATGAAAACAAGATCTGTGAGTGAATATTTCAAGTTTAAACATTTTTTTATCAAGCCAACTTTAAGAAATAAGAAAACCCATGTAGATACTTTGCATAATGTGATGTTTTTCATATTCATTAAGATGGTTTACTGAGTTGATATTTCATATTTAGTTTATTTGTGGCTACCTATTTCACTTTTAATGAGATTCAGATTGAATTTATTTCTAACAATTTACTTTTGTGGTTTATTAATAAACATTATCAGTTATAAGTATTAATTTTTAGAGAGCAAGTTTGGAGATTCATGGTCAGCACAAATATGGCCATCTAGTATCAGTTTAATCATTTTAAAGGTTAAAAGTAAATCACTGAACAAACTGTAGCATGGGAAATATGATGGTATTTCTTGAATTAAAATCAGTTCATTGCTCCAGTGGAGAAATTTATTGCTCTATAAAACTAGAAGTACTAGCAATTGCATGCTAAATAATTGATTTGTTAGCCAACTTGTAATGATCACAGATATAAAAATACTTAATACAGTTCTTTTAGCTAAAACATACTTTTAAAACAATTTAACTTTATGAGGCAGCTTTCTTTGAACATTATTTATTATGGTACCTAATCTAAACTTTCTCTTTTATTATTAGATTATATTATTTTAACTATTGGAGATAGCTACGATAACATTGATGATGAGGATGCTGTGACAAAAGAGGATTCTGAAACAGAGAATTCTGAGAATCCTAATGATTCTGATGATGCACTGATGATACAATCAAACTTTGGAAGCGGCAGTGCGAACTTTCAGCAACTATTCGGCATGACATATGGTAATTTTGTTGTATTTCCTCCTGGGGGAAATTTTGCTGTCTGATCTCATTTTCTAGTAAATTACTTAACTATTTCTGTAACTTTTTACATCAGTTAGTTATGAAAAGAGCTGAGCTTTCTAGTACTATGGCAATGTTAACTTGTGTTTGCATTTTCCTTTTACTTTAGCTCTCACATGTCCCCCTTTGTCCTTTTTTCTGGGTACTGGGGATAGAACTTGGGACCTTGTGCTTGCGAGGCAGGTGCCGGAACCACTGAGCTAAATCCTGGGCCCCCTTTTTATTCTTTTTACTGTATGGGGAATAGACTCAAAGTGTTGGGGAAAATATGTTCTCTGTCTCTGAAAATTGTTTATATCTGGCAACTATAATTATAACTATTTGGTAGCAAAATGAAATTGAAAAGCTAAAATTGAACTTACAGAAATATCAACTTGGGTCAAGAGTCCATGGAGCAGATAACATGATTTTCTATGAAGAAAATCTCAAAGAATCAACAAAAATTTTCTGGAATGAATAAGTGACTATCATTTGCAAAATAAAAGGTTAATATACAAAAATTAACCACTTTACTACATACTAGCAATAAAAAATTAGAATTGGACTACACTCTCTGTGGACCCTTCTGGGTGAAAATTCATTTACATTAGCAAATGTATTTATTTACATTTACAAATTTATTTATTTACATTAGCACCCAGAAGGGTCCACAGAGAGTGGACTCTTGCAATCTGAACCACTATAGCTGCCTGTCCTTCCAGTTGTTCCTTCCTAATCACAGTGATGAAGGAAATGTCAGACCACTCATGTCCAAGTTTATATAGGGAGCCAAGAGACACCTAGCAATATTCCTTCAGTAGCTATATGCCAATTTGTTCTTTACTTAGAGGATTGGGCTTCTTATTTTGTAAAATATAGCTTAGGTTGGAGGTTGGCAAACATTTTTAAAATAAAGGTCTGTAGTACATATTTCAGGCTTTGCAAGCCATCAGTGTTACGTTTAACTCTGCCATTACAGTGATGAGAGCCATTACAGTGGCTCTGTTTAAGTAAAATATTATGGACAGAGAAATTGGAATTTCCTATAATTTTCCCATTTCATGAAATACTCCTTTTTTCAATTACTTAAAAATCTAAAACATTTTTAGCTTGTGGGCTAGTACAAAACAAAACAAAAACCACACAGGCAGCAAGATGGATTTGGCGCCCAGGTTGTGTTTTGCTGATCTCTGATCTAACTGATACCACTTATCTGTTCTAGTTTTAAAACACCTGGCTGACTCTTAACTGCCTGCTTTAGTGGGAAAGAAGTAAATCCATTGACCCATTGTTTCTACTTGTAGGAATTTATCCCACAGAAATACTTGCACAAGTGCAAGACTGCTCAGCAGCATTCTTTGCAAGAGCAAAAAAGTAACCTGAATATCCATGTATTAGGGATTGGCTAAATCATGGCTTATCTACATGAAGAAAAACTAAGGAGTTATTAAAAGTGCAAAGATATTGGTTTTGACAGATGAATACATGTTTAGCAAAAGAGGAGGTTGCTGAGCAGTACTTATAGCCTGATTTCTCTTTATCTAACTGACAGAAAAACTCAGACTAGGAAATTTCACAGAAGATAGCCAAGTAATCGTTTTCATTGTGATTATATACATATGTAAATATAAATATTTATCATTTTAACCCTTTGTAAGTGTACAGCTTAGTGGCATTAAATACACAGTATTGTACAACTGTCATCACTGACTGTACTCAAAACCTTTCCATCATCTTCAACATAAACTGTACCAATTAAATAGTAACTCTCCCCTGGTAACCTCTAATATATCTATCTCTGAATTTGTCTATTTCCGGTACCTCATATAAATGAGTACATATAATATTTATCCTTCGTGTCTTGATTATTTCACTTAGCATGAAGTTTTCAGGATGTGTGCATGTTGTAGCCTGTATCAGAGTTTCATTCTTTTTTAAAGCCTGAATGATACTGCATTTTACATATATACCACATTTTGTCCATCACTTGATGGACATCTGGGCTGTTTCCACTTTTTGGTTATTGTGAATTAGGCTTCTGTGGACATGGGTGTACAAATACCTGTTCATGTTTTGTGCTTCAGTTCTTGTGGACATATACCTAGAATGGAATTGCTGGATGCTATGATCATTCTGTTTAGTTTTTGAGAAACTTTCATGTTGTTTTCCACAGAGGTGGCAGCATTTTACATTTCCACCAGCATTTCATGATTTTTCCACATGCTTATCAACACTTATTATTTTCCATGATAGCTATTCAAGTGGTGTCTAATTGCCTGACTGCTTTTCTCTGCCTGCCTGCCTTTCTTTCCTCCTCTCTCTTTTTTCTTCAGCTTCTCCCTCTCCTTCCTTCTTGCTCCCCCTCTCTTTCCCTCCCTTCCTCCCTTCCTTCCTTCCTTTCCTGTCTCCCTCCTTCCCTCCTCTCTGTCTCTGTTTCTCTCTCCCTCAACCTGACCCCCCTTTCTTTCCAGTAAGGGAACAATGAAATGCATCCCCATTCTTTTTTATTTTTTATTTTGAGATAGGATCTTACTAAGTTGCCCAGGCTGGCCTTGAAATTGCAATTCTCCTGCCTCAGCTTCCTGAGAAGCTGGGATAACAAGCATGTGCTGTTGTGTCAGTTTATTGTGGTTTTGATTTGTATTCCCTTAATAACTAATGATAGTGACCATTTTTCCTGTGTTTATTGGCCATTTAGATATCTTTTGGAGAAATGTCTCTTTACAAAGTCCTTTGCTGAGTTTTTTTGTTGTTGTTGTTTATTTAGTACCGGGGATCCAAGTCAGGACCTTGAGCTTTCGAGGCAGGCGGAGGAAACACTGAGCTGTCCCAGGCCCTCTTTGCTGAGTTTTGAGTTAGATTGTTTTTTTAAATTTTAGTTCTTTATATTCTGAATATTAATTCTTTATAAGACGTATGATTTACAAATATTTTCTGCCATTCTGTAGGTTATCTCTTTGCTTTTTTTCATGGGGAGGGTATTACTAAGGATTGAACCCAGGACTTCATGCATGCTAGGTAAATGCTCTTCCATTGAGTTACATCTCAAGCCATCTTTTTGTATTTATTTAAAAATTTTAAGACAGAGTCTCCCTAAGTTGCTAAGTTGCTGAGGCTGGGCTTGAATTTAAGATCCTCTTGCTTCAGCCTCCCACAGTGCTGAGATTACAGCCATGTGCCACCACACCCAGCTCTTAGTGCATTTTTGCCAGTGTCCTTTGATGTACAAAAGTTCTTAATGTTGATGAAGCCCAGTTTAACTGTTTTTTCCAGTACCAGGGATCAAACTCAGGACCTTGTGCTTACGAGGTAGGTGTGGCACCACTGAGCTAAATCCCTGGCCCTTGTTTTTTCTTTTATTGCCTATATTTATGATGTTATGTCCATGAAATTATTCCCAAATCCAGTGTCATGAAGGTCTTCCTCAGTATTTTAAGTTTTAGCTCTTACATTAAATCTTTGATCCACTGTGAGTTAAAATTTTATATGCAAGATAAAGGTCTAACTTCATTCTTTTGCATGTGGATATCCAGTTTACCTGGCACTATTTGTTGAAAAGACTATCCTTTCACCATTGAATGTTCTCGGCATCCTTGTTAAAAATCAGTGAAGGGTTTATTTCATGTGTCTCTGTTCTATTTCATTGGTATATATGTATGTAGCACATACTTTTATGCCAGTAGCACACTGTTTTGATTACTTTAGCTTTGTAGTAAGTCGCAAAATCAAGAAATATGCATCCTCCAACATTATTGTTTTTAAGACAATTTTGAGTACTCAAGGTCCCTTTCAATTTCATATAAATTTGAGGATGGTTCTTCCATTTTGGTGAAAAACACTGTTGGAAATTTAATAGGGATTGTGTTGAATCTGTAGATTATTTTGATCTTAACAGTGGTAAGTCTTCCTACCCGTAAGCATGGTTTGTGTTTCCATTTAGTTAGGTCTTCTTTAATTGCTTTTAGCAATGCTTTTTAGTTTTCAATGTATAATTTTTTCACTAACTTGGTTAGATTTATTCCTAAGTATTTAATTCTTTTAGACGCTATTGTAAATGGAATTGCTTTCTTAGTTTCCCTTTTGGATTATTCATTTCTGGTGTATAGAAACCCAGCTGAGTTTTGTGTGTGGATCTTATACCTTGCAAGTTTGCTGACTTGGCATATTGGCTCCAGTAGCTTTCTTTCGGATTCTTTGGGCTTTTCTATATACAGGATCATGTCACTTGTGAATAGATAGTTTTACCTCTTCTTTCCAAGTTGGATGCCTTTTTTTGTTTTTATTGCCCTAATAGATCTGACTAAAACTTTCAGTACAGTGTTGAATAGCAGCAATGAAAGCAGAGACCCTTTTCTTGTTTCTGATCTTAGGGAGAAGGCTTTCAGTCTTTCATCATTGAGCACGATGTTAGCTATAGTTTTCCATAAATATCCTTTATTAAGTTGTGAAAATTTCCTTCTATTTCTAGTTTTCTGAAATGTTTTACTGTGAAATGGTATTGGACTTTGTCAAATGCCTTTTCTGTATGGAATGAGGTGATAATGTGGCTCCCCATTCATTCTATTAATATATTACATAGATTTTCTTATGTTGTAGCAACCTTACATTCCTGGGACAAATCCACTTGCTCTTGGGATCATTTTAGTTTGCTGTTGGATTAGATTTGCTGAGCATTTTTGCATCCATATTCATAAGGGATATTGGTCTGTAATTTTCTTTTCTTGTGTTATCTTTATCTGGCTTTGGTATCAGAGTAATTCTGGCCTTGCAAGATGAGTTAAGAAGTGTTGTTTACTCTTCAAGTTTTTGAAGTTTGAGAAAAGACTGGTGTTAATTATTCTTGAAATGCTTATAGAATCCACCAGTGAAGCCATCTTGTCCTGTCCTTTTGTTTTTGGGAGGTTATTACTGATCCAATCTCTTTCTCTTGTTATTGTTTTGTTGTGATTTTCTATTTTCCCTTCTCCTCCTCTGTTTTCTTCTTTCTTCTTTTGAATTTCTGACAATTGAACCCAGGGCCTCATGCATACTAGGCAAGCATTTTATCACTGAGCTACATCCCCAGCCCAGTCTATTTCTTCTTGAGTCAGTTTATCTAATTAATTTTTTTAAATTATAAGAACAAATCATTTTCTCTTATACTAGCATCAAGCAGTTAGAAAATATATACCAAAATACCCAATTCATAGTGGCTGTGAAACATATCTAACACTTAAAAAAATAAAAATAGTAGAACCTGTATGAAAATAACTTGAATACTTTACTGAGGGTCATAAAATAAGACTTGAGTAAGTGGAAAGACACATTATTTTTTGGCATAGTTTTAAAAATCTTGGAGAAATCTATTTCAGGGATAGGTGTTGATTTCCCACATCAAACAATAAAGCATTTTAAAGGTACAATTATTAAAATATTGTGGTACTAGTTCTGAAGTAGGGAGTCAGACTTAATGTAGTAAGGTCATAAACAGAATAAAGAATTTAAAGCTAAAACTATAGTATATTAATATGTAAAAGATGGAGAATAAATTGTGTGGTGACAAATGTTTAACTGTTGGGGGGAGGCCCATTAGATTTCATCTCACATTGCACATATAAATAATTTTAAGATGGATTAAAGGGTTTAATAACTAATAAGTGGAAGTATGGAACAATAGAAGAAAATATAGCTGAATGCTTTCCTAGTCCTAGTGAAAGTTTCAGTATAAAAACAGGTGAAGAAAACAAAAAATTCATGAATTTGATGAAATGAAAGCAACAAATCTCTCCCTGATAAAACATGAGACTTCAAAAAAAAAAAACCACCACCTAAGAAATTATATATTCTTAGGCACAATTATATATTTTGTGACAATTATATATTTTATTATCCTTTTCTGTGGTAGTAGAGATTGAACCCAGAGCCTTTGCTCTGAGTGACATCCTCATCCCTTTTTAATTTTTTTTATTTTGAGACAAGATCTTACTAAGTCACTGAGTTGCCCAGGCTGAGCTCAAGCTTGCTGTTCTCCTGCCTCAGCCTTCCAGAATGCTGGGATTACAGGTGTGTGCTTCTGTGCCCATCTGGATTATTATCCTTAAAATAGGAAGATTTCATACAGATTAGATAGGAATCACTACTTCATTGGGCAATGAACAGGGGGCACAAATAATGATTCCCAGAGCAAGAAATATTAATGCAGAGAGAACATCTGAAAAAATACTCAGTTGCATTCATATCGAGAGAGATGCAAATTAACATGGGATACAAACTTTAAACCATCTATCAAGTTAGCAGTTTTGTTTTGTTTTGTTATTTTTGTTTTGGTACTGGGGATTGAACTCGGGTCCTTGAGCTTGTGAGACAGGTGGTGGAACCACTGAGCTAGATCCCCGGCCCAAGTTAGCAGTTTTTAAGATGTAATTCACTTTAGTCATAATGGAGTAAAACATTGAATTTCAGTTCTCTTGGAGTACAAATTGGACATTATGACAAACCCCTTGTGATTCTTCTAGATAGAAGGAACTATTCAGAGATGAACAGAAATATTTCTACTTGAATGTGTGTACATCATTATATCAAAATAGTGAAAAATTAGATGCCGTATAAATGTCTTATAATAGAAAATAGCATAACCTATGGACATCCGTAAAATGAAATACTGTATTATGAAGTCATTTAAAAGCACAAGGTCCTGAGTTCAATCTCTGGTACCCCCCCCCCAAAATTTAAGCATGCAAAATTGTTCAGACTATATATAGAGTATAATTTAAAGTATATAAGAAAAATAGAATTAAATACATTCTTAAAGCTTATTATATTTATTGGTGATGGATTAATTTCTCTGTTTAGATTCTCCTTTTTTTTTTTTTTTTTTATGGTACCGGGGATCGAACTCAGATCCTTCCACTTGCAAGGCAGGCGGCGGAACCACTGAGCTAAATCCCCGGCCCCGATTCTCCATTTTTTTTATAAGGAGCTCTTATAGCTTAGATCTAAATCATCTCCCAAAACTCTCATGCCCTCAAAAGTGGGGCTTTTGCGAGGTGATTGGATCATGGGGGAGCTATACTTACTTGTGCATTCATCCACTACTGAATTCAGCATCTGAGTATGCTGTTAGGAGGTGGTTAGAGGCAGGTCACTAGGGGGATGGCCTGGAAGGGTATAGCATGACCTGGAAAGGTAGATCTCCCTCCCCGGTTTCTTCCTTCTCTCTCTGCTTCCTGGCTGCCATGACTTGAGGAACTTTTCTTTATGACATGCACAATCACCATGTAGTTTCTGGGTTTGAACCTGCCAGTCATGGACTGAAACTTCTGAAACAGCTGAAATAAACCTCTCCTTTAAGTGTGGGTATCAGGTATTTTGGCCCAGCAATGAGGAGTTAACTAAAACAGGAGCTGAATTTTTTAGTTTTTTTTAATAGAAGTCTATTGCAAAGAAAAATATGCACACATCATAAATATAGCTTAAATAATTTTCAAATAAATATATGCAGGTAATGAGCACCCATACCAACAAACAGAAGGTAATGCACTTCCAGCATCTATCCCCAATCCCTTCCAGTCAGTAATCCCCTTGCAAGGTAACCACAACCCTGACTTCTCCTACCATAACTTCTGCTTGGTATTTAGCTTTATGTGAATTGAATCATACACTATGTTCTCTTTTGTGTCTGGCTTTTACTCAAGGTTATGGTTGTGAGGTTCATCCTTGCTAAGGGTAGCAATAGTTGATTTATTCTCATTGCTATGAGTCTTTGCTTGTATGAATACACCAAAGTTTATTAGTCATACATTTGCTTTATCATCAGAAAAATCCTGCAGTTTAAAAAATAAAATTGGGTGAAAGTTACAGCTCAAACTGGAGATGTTTTACAACTTGAAATTTTTATACATTAGTCTGGATTTGTCTAACTTGGGAGTGAACTCTCCCATCTTCTTAATCCCCTTTTGATTTCTGTCTCTTCTTTGGGCCTTTGGTGATCAGTACCTCCTCTGTGAAAGGAAGGGGAAGCAGGAAAAGAGATGAAACTTGAATCCCTTAGCTGTGGCTCTCATTGCTGCTATGAGTCAGGATGGATAAAGTGAATTCATTTCTTCATTAAGGTGCTCCTCCCAGTAAATGATGCAAGTATTCAAACCAAATCTGGAGTACAAGATAGAATATGATAATGTCATATTCTGTGATATTCTATGATATGATCATAGTCCATGTCTTGTTCTAGTTCCGCTCCGTAGTTATGTGACTCTGAGCCACAATTGAACCTTTGGAATTCTAGATTTTTCAGGCTTATATTTCACAGCAATTTATTTAGATTTAACCTAAAGCCTAACTAATAAGGCAATCAAAACGAAGTGGAGAGCTACACTCAGTGGGTTTACACCACAGGAGGAGAGGTGATATCTGCCAGGGTCTCTACTCCACACAGCACCGGGGCCCAATCCGGAACAGACTGTTAGTGCACATTTTGGGGTCACACTGTCTGCCTGTCTTGGTCCCTTTCTCATCACTGGGACAAAATACCTGACACCTCAACTTGAAGAGGGGTTCCTTTTTGGCTCACAGTGTAGGAATTTCAGCCCATGGTCAGCTGGCTCTGGCAGAAAGGGCGTGGTGGAAGGAGCCCAGTGGAGGAAAGCTGTTCATATCATGGTGGCCAGGTAGCAGAGAGAGAAAGAAGGAGCCAGAGAGGGAGATCTACCCATCCAGGTCATGCCTCCAGTGACCTGCCTCTAATCAGGCATAAGTCAGGTATGAACAGATCAGTGGATTAATCCATTGATATAGCGCCTACATGAACCAATCACACCTTCCATAAGCCCCACCTCTGAACACATGAGGCTTTGGGGGGACATTTTATTTTTATTTTATTATTTTCTTGTACCAGGGAAAATTCTGGACCTCCTACGGACCTCGCACTTGCCAGGCAGGCGCAATGCCGATGAGCTAAATCCCTGGCCCAAGGGGGAACATTTTAAATCTAAATCATAACACTGCCTAAGTGAAAAGCCCTTTTGATCCTCTTTACAAAAGCAGTAAGTGGGCTGGGGATTTAGCTCATTGGTTCAGCCACCTGCCTCGCAAGCACAAGGTCCCAAGTTCTACCCGTGGTACCAAAAAAACAAAAAACAAAAGCAGTTAGTGCTAGTCATGGTGGTGCATTCTGGGAGCCTGAGGCATGAGGATCAAGAGTTTGACTCTAGCCTGAGCAGTTTAGCAACTTAGTGAAACCCAGTCTGAAAACAAAAAAGGGCTGGGGTTATAGCTCTATGCAAAGGTTCTAGGTTCAATTTCCAACACCCCAGGAGACGGGACAGGGGTGAAGCAGGCAGTCAGCAAATGTATTCTTTTGCTCAGTTGTTTGTAACATTTACCTGGTAGACTAATTCTACAATTTGGAACTGCATTTTACTTGATTTTCATTCCTGGTCATATACAGTGTACCCCTTCAGTTTTAAAAGACTTATTCTAACTTGCTTATGGAAGAATTCTTTTTTTAGGCAGGCATGGTGGCACACACCTGTAATCCCAGCACTCTAGGAGGCTGAGGTAGGAGGATTACAAATTCAAGCCCAGCACGGGCAGTTTAGCAACTAAAGGAGGCCTTGTCTCAGAATTGAAAGAAATTAAATGAAAAAGTCTGGGGTTGTAGCTCAGTGCAAAAGCCCTGGTTTCAATCACCAGTACCGCCAAAAAACAAAACAAAAAACAACAAAAAAACTTTTATCACTTTCTAAAATTCAACCAGGGTCCAATTTGAGGTGGCATTTTCAGAGAATATCTATATAAGGTTATTTAGGTAGTGTAGTAAGTGTGTGAAGTAAATTTTTTGTGTTGCTTTACAGGAGTTGAAGGTGCAGAAGTCCACCCTGATCAACTAGTTTCACAAATGAACCATCCAACACACTTAAAAAGATACAGGTCTGAGCCAACAGAACAGGATTTTTGCTCATCAAACAAAAAAAGACTATCATCTCCTCCAAGACAGTATAATATGGTTTGTATAGTAAAATGAAAATATTTCTTTTTTTGTTCTCATTCTGCTATAATTCTTTTGTTAAATTTAGCCAAGCATGGTGGTGCATGAGGCAGGAGGATCTTCTTGAGTTGGGGGCCAGTCTGGGCTGCGTAGTGAGTTCAAGGCCAATCTGGACTACAGAGCAAAGCCATGAGTTTAATTTCATATATTGAAATGCAAATAAAAGTACATACAGTTCAATGAGTTTTGATAAATAGTGTATGTCATGCCCCTGTCAAGATAAGGAACTTTTCCATTTACTCAGAAATCTTCCTCAGTCCTCTTCCCAGTAAATCCTGGCCCTCTCTAGTCTTGGTGAAAATATCATATTGATAGTTTTTCCATCCTAGGTTATTTTGGACTGTCCTACAACTTCGTATAAGTAGAATGGAAAAAATAGAATTCTGTTGTATAAATAGAATTGTATAAATAGAACATGTTGTATAAATAGAATTGTCTTTTTGGTTCCAGTCTCTCTTAGAGTAATATTCTGCAGATTCATTTTGTAGTATCAATATTTCATTCCTATTTATTCTCAGCGGTACCCTGCTATTATGAGTAAAGTGGCTATGAACTTGTGTATGGAGATCTTTTGGTGAACATGTTTATGTTGAATTTGGTTGGTTTTTTTTGTTTTTTTGGGGGGGTACTGGGGATCAAACTCAGGACCTTGCGCTTGCGAGGCAGCCATGGTACCACTGAGCTAAATCCCCAGCCCTATATTTAATTTGAATAAATACCCAGGAGTGGAAATATTGGGCCATGAGATAGATTAAAGATTAACTTTTTGAAAAAGATTTTTTATTTTTATTGTTATATTTACAATGCATAATAATTACTAATTGTGGGGAATTGGTACACATACATATTACATCTTGATGATATTTAATTCCCTTAACTCATGCCCTCTCTTTTCCCACTTCCACAGATCCCTTTCCCATCTCTACAGAGTCTACCTCCCTGTTACCATCTCTTTTGTTTTGCTCTTTATTTATATTTTGGTTTTCTTATATAAGAGAAACCATACAACATTTACCTTCTTTTTTTTTTTTGCCAGTATTGGGGATTGAACCCAGGGCCTTCATACTTCACACTGAGCTACATCCCCAGTCCTTTTTGTTTTTTATTTTGAGACAAGGCCTCACTAAACCACTAAATTACCCAGGTTGGGCTTGAACTTTTGATCCTCTTCCTCACCCTCCCAGTGTGCTGGGATTAAAAGTGTATGTCACCACATTTGCCTGATATTTATCCTTTTGTGTCTGATTTCAAGTTATAGCACAAAGGTACAGTAATACAAACAGCATGGTATAGTGGCACAAAAATGGACCTGTTCACCAGTGGAATAAAATTGAGGATACAAAAACAACCCCATGCACCTTCACATCTGATTTTTCACAAAGAGGCCAAAAACATATGCTGGAGAAAAGATAGCCTCTAATAATTGGTGCTGGGAAAGCTGGTTATCCACATGCAGAGGAATATCTTTTACCCTATACTAAAATCACATCAAAATGGATCAAAGGCCTAGATATAAAAACAGAAACACTGAATCTGTTGCAAGTTAAAAATTAGATGTAGGCATAGGCGAGGACTTCCTGAACAGAACCCTACTTGCATAAGAAATAATACCAGGAATCAACAAATAGGATTATATCAGATTAAGGTTTAACTTTTAAGAAACTGCCTAAGAATTTTCTGAAATGGTTGTACTGTTTTACAGTTCCATCATATTATGTTGTGTTTGTTTATCTTTGAAGTTGAATAAAATAGATTTAACTATAGACTTAAATAGACAAACTATAAAAAGGCTTAAAATACTTATTTACTCAAAGATTTGGATATTAATGCCACATAAGTAGTACTATATAGGTAATTCTCAACTTGTCAGTCCCAGTATTTTAATTTTTGGGGATAGTGTTAATTATCTACCAAGTGTTGGGGTTTGGGGCATAATTATCTGGAAAGATTTTGAAAAGAACGAAGCACTATGCAAGGGTAGGATGATAATACTGTGTTTATAATTATTAATCTACATTGTAAGACTATAATTTTGGCTGTGTGATAGTTGTGTGATGCAGGGCTAATTTAGGTAATTTTTAATCATGGGCATTGATAACTTCTTAGTATATTTGTATTAAAATTATCCTTATAGTTGACAATTTACTCTTAGAATACAGAGTTATTATAATTAAGTGTGATGATTACTTGCTTATCTATCTTAGTTATACCCTATTCTTATTCCAAAAAATTAGGTGAAGTGATTTAAACATTAATTTATCAAGAACAAAAAGGTTTAAGTATTTCCTATCTTGTCCACAGAGTGTCACTGTTGGATTACTTGAAAATCAGAAACCATGTAACATTTGGTTCTTTGTTCATGGTTAGGAATAGTTGCTTTTAAAGTAGTAACAGAGCTAATTAATGAAAGACTAGTCTTTTTACCCTGAAGTACAGAGAGTTAAAACTAGATAGAAATGGTATCTTAATTGTATTTGGGTAATGAGAACACAGTTCTACAAGTACATCTTTTCATGCTGTTGCAATATTTGTAACAGGCAGAGGTTCTTTGACATAACAAATAAGCCTTTGGTGCTTCCTGAAAATGAAATAGAAATCCTGAACTTTTCTTTCAGTTCTTTCCTTTATTTTTGATTTGTTAATCTTCCTTAGGTAAGAACATGAATACAATATCTGTTTGAGAAGGTGAAAGTATCATTAATGACTGCACCTTAGACTTCGAAGATTTACATAAATTGCTAAATATGTTCACACTTATCAAGAAAATGATTTGGATTCCTTTTTAGCCTTCATATCCTGGGCACTTACTCTGAACTCATACTCAAGGAAATATTTCTGTCTCCTAAATGTACACACTTCTTTAGATAGTGAACTCTTTTTTTTTTTTTGTAACAGGGATCGAACTTTGGTCCTTGTGCTTGCGCAGCAGGCGACGAAACCACTGAGCTAAATCCCCAGCCCTAGACAGTGGACTTTTAACCATTTTGTTTCCTTCTTTATTTATTTAATAGAAATTCACAGCACTTTTTTCCCCCATTAAGTTTATTGGTACATTTTAGGTATAAAATACAGTTACATTTATCATTGGGATCTTGTACCATTACATGAGTATCTTGGTTCTTATTTTTTTTCCCCTTCCCCTGCCCTCCCTTCCCTATTTGCAAAGACTTTGTTTCCATTTTTTTTTTCTTTTCTCATATTTTTTCTTTTCCCTTCTTTCCTTTCCCCTACCCCTCCCACTTCTCCTGCTCCTTTAGACCTTTTCTTCCTATTACACAATATCAATTATACATTTTTAAAATTACAATATCAAGATCTAGAAGACATTACCACAGATTTCACAGAATTTAAAAGGATATAGAAAGCATATTACAAAAATGTTTTTTGAAATAAATTTGACAACTTCTAAGAAGTACCTTGGAAGACAAATTAATGAAACTGACTCTGGAGGAAATAGGAAATTTGAATAGCACCTATTAAAGCATATTCCTAGCTTGAAAACCTACCTATATGACAGCAACAGGCTCATATACATTTTAACTGATGAGTTATATCAAACAATTAAAGCAGAAAAAAGGAACCCTTCTCCCCTCATTTACAGCACTTTTTTTTATGGTGCTAAGGACCTTGAGCATACTGGGTAAGTATTCTATCACCAAGCTGTATCTCTAGCCCAATTCAAAGTATTTTTGAGCCCCATTTCATTGGGTTTCTAATAGTGAAATAATTTGAGATTTTGGGGAAGAGTTACAAAAATATTACAGAGTTCTCATGTATATACTTCACATAGGTTCCCTTAATGTTAATTTAACTGTATAATTCAAAATTACTGTAATTGTCTATAATCTAAACTAGGATGTTAACATTAGTACAGTACTACTTGGCAAATTACAGTCCTTGTTTGAATTTTGCCATTCTCCCCATATTGAATTTAGTTGTGTCTCCTCAGCCTCTTCCAGTCTATCACAGCTTCTCATTCTTTCCTTGTTTTTCATGATCCTGGCACCTTTGATGAGTACTAGTTTGTTATTTTGTTAGAAATATCTCTCAATTTTGGTGTATATGATACTTTCTCTTAAATAGATTGAGATTATGTATTTTTGACAAGAATTCCATGCAAATGCTGTTATTTCTCATTGAACTCCACTAGGTGGTACTGTGTCCATTATCTTTTTATTGGTAATGTTAACGTTGATCACTTGATTAACATTGTGTCTTCTAAATTTTTCCATTGTAGAGTTGTTTTCCCCTTTCTAAGTGATAGATAAGAGTGGAAGGGTACTTTGAGACTCTGCTAATACCGTTTCTCTTCAATTCAGTGAGTTGAGTTAGCATCTGTCCATGGTTTTTAACTGCAGCAGTTGTTACTCTATTTGCCTGATAGTGACTATTTCCATCATTCATTCTATATTTATTAGCTAGAATTTATTTGTAAGAAAGTGCTGTCATTTATTTTCTGCTTATTCAGTCATATGTATTAATATGGACTCACGAACATTTATTGTATTGTATGAATTATCCAACATTTCCATTATTTATTTTGTTAAGCTAATTTCCCAGCATTAGCCATTGGGTGTTCCTTCCAGTTTGTTGCTGTGGCCTTTTACTCGGTGCCCCCACCCTTTTTTGAACATTTTCTTATTTTCTGACATCAGAAGATGTTCTAGGCTCATATGAAATTTCCCTGCCCCAGCCCTGGAATTCAACTGTTTTTTGAAGGAATCCTCATTTGTTTTGGTACTGGAGATCGAACCCAGGACCTCGCACTTGCAAGGCAGGTGGCAGAACCACTGAGCTAAATCCCCAGCCCCTCATTTGTTTTTTAAACTTGGGAATGTTATTTAAAAACCAAGATGTGGACATTTGGTATGTTGATTGCTGTTTTTTGTGTCATTGATCCTTGGCCTTCTCAGAGGACAGAAATAAATGTGTATCTGAATCCATTCAAACACATAAATATGTATTTTTATATTGAGCTATATTTATATTAACTGTATTCATACCAATGTTCAGTAGTTTTCCTTAAACTTAGGTTCTTATAACTTCTTTCCTTAACCCTTTGTTAATCAGTGCTTTTTATTCTGACATGAATGTGGGTTTTATTACTTCTGTATTATTAGACATCTGAAATTTATTAGCATATAAGTGAAAAATACAAACAATTAAAATAGATAACTATTTAAAGTGTTTTTTCTTGTGCTCAAATAGGCTCCTAGTGATGTTAAGCATTGACCACTTGTTTTTATAAAACTTGTAGGAAAGAAATGTGTTTGAAAAATTCTATGATGAATATCACCGAAACCAACTTAGAGCATTTCAACAATGTTTTCAGGTATCAAAGTTCTATCAAATGTAATTTTCTGCAATATTGAATTAAAATTTTTATTCCATTTAATGTCATTATACTATTAATAGAAAATTTGTGTCAAATTCTGTACTATTATCATCCCACTGTAATATACTTTAAAAAAATTTCTACTTGGAACAGTATCCCCAGGTGAATATTTGGAAATAAAAGTATGGCTTTGGTAACTTTAAAAAACTCATAATCTAGATTGTTTGACATTTAATTTTTCCAGTGTAATATTTTATGAAAAGTGGCCACCTTAGATGAAATTTAGCATGTGCCTAAATGCAGATCAAGGTATCTCAACTGAAACAAAATGGTAGCCCATCAATGTTTTGTAAAGAGTATATCTGCTATAGTTTTGAGGGAATTTTATAAAAATAAGCATGTTAGTAGAGATTGATAGAAGTATATAATTATAAAGGGTTTTATGAGCTACATACCCCAAAGGTAATGCAAGTTTATAAAAATATATGTTTCTTAAACCTCTAAATTTTCTTGTCTAGAATGAGCTGGCATAATTTGAAGACTAGAAAAGTCTGTGTGAGTCTCATTCTTCCTAGTGAGGACAGAAGTGGGATGCTTATTCATGCCTTGAGGAGAAGATGGGCAGAGGTGGCTAGAGCAGCAGGGAGAGGGGCTGGGGCCTGAGCAGGACTGTCCAGTCCCCTTACCCTTGAGCAGTTGTGCAAGCTGTGGTGGGATGTACCATCTTGGATGAGAAGTGACCAGGTTCCCAAGCCATAGCCCAAAGTGGACCATAAGGCTGCTCTCCACTTCTCCCAGTGTGCTGGCTCTTTCTTTCTCCCTTTTCATCCTTATCATTCTACATCCCGTGGTGTAGCATATGACGTGGCCCTTCACTTTCCTCTCTTTTCCTAGCCACCCTCATCCGTATCATCCTGTGCTGAGCTATCCTCTGCCCTGCAGCCCTTCCAAAGCTTCAGTCAGTTCCCACCACGTGAGCTGCCTAGGCTCACTTTGGTCTTTTTCCTTGCTGGACACTGGAGGACTTGGCACAGTTGTCCCTCCATGTTCTGATTCCTGTCCCCACCACCACCAAACCTGCCTAGCAGTCCTTCTGGTCCCTCCCAATCAGGGGCATTGGAATAGGTCCTCTGTTGCCTCAGGCTGTCACCTCTGCTGGTTTCTGCATCTGCCTTCTTCCCTGTGCTCAGAGAGCTCCCTGTGTCTGGCATCCCCCTTTCTTTGTCTCCAGCCCAGCCTTAGCGCTTCTTACCCTTAGCAGGATATTCTCCCACAGCTTTACATCGCCACTTGTTTTGACCTCTCATCCCTTTTAGCTGCTACCCACACTCTCCCATTCCTGATGATTGAGCTCCATGGGCATCATTTATACTCACCACCTGAACATATGGCTTCTGACTTTCTCTCTGTGATTGGGAATATGCTGTTCCTTCTGCCCTGTATGCCCTCCCATGCGTTTTTGCCTGGTGAATGCCTGCTCTCCTTTCACTCTCAACCTGAGAAAGCCCACCCTGACTACCGGCTTGAGTTCAGTCCTGCTCTTCTGGGTATGCTCAGCCTCTTGTGCTTACCTGTGTCATGGTGCTAATGACAGTAACAATAATAATACTAACAAAGTACTGAGCACTGTTGGGCCAGTCATGTGGAGTGTTGTTATTGTTAGCATTAACATAAGGCTATAGTAAGGTTCTGTCCTCAGGAGGATCCCTAAGAGATATTTTCATCCCAGTTCTGTGCATGAGGAAATTGAAGCACAGGGAAGTCAAGCAACTTGCCCAAGGTCACACTGCTAATAAGTGGCAGAACTCTAGTATGTGAAGGCATCCATGTAGGTCCTGAGCTGTTTGCCTCAGCACTGCAGGCCCACAGTTCTCCCACTGGAGTGCACATCAGAAGCACCTAGAGGCTTGTTGAAACCCAGCCTGCTGGCTCCACTCAGGTCTCCATTCTGTAGGGCTGAGGTGGAGCTGCAGTGTTGCTGTCTCTCAAGCTTGCTGGTGATGGTGCCGGTCAATGGACCACACTTTGAGAGCAGCTATCCCAGGCTATTAGTCACTTGTTCTGTTGAAATTGTCTCTTCTCTCTCTCCCCAGTGAAGATGGGCATTCTTCTAGGATGGGAAATTTTTTTTCTTTTGTCCTCATTTCCAGTACCTAGCAAAGATCTGACTGGTAGTAGGCTGTTAATAAGTGCTCATTTGAATGAATGAATGAGTGAGGAAGTGTTTCTGGTCTTTTATTTTTTCCTTTGCTCAAAATTTCTGTGTATTTCAAGAATTCTCAGATTTTTTTCCTGATGGCCATGTAGGGGTCCTGTACTCAATGGTTTTGTAAGTTTGCTGACTGAATGATTATAAAATGCATTGAAGCCAAAAGTCACATCTGTTATGTTTGGTTTTTTGTTGTTTTGGTACCAGGGATCGAACTCAGCACCTTTTTGCTTGCGAGCCAGGCGAGGTGCCACTGAGCTAAATCCAGGGCCCACATCTGTTATATTTGGCTCCATGTTCTTTCCAGAGCAGAAAATTCACTGTTAGTTCATAAGTCATTGTGTGGAAGGTCACTCTTTGACCTTTTAGCAGATTTGAACATTTCTTTCCTGAAATAGCACCTTCCTTGATGTGAAATGGCTGCATCATAAATGGGATGGTGTAGAGGGGCTGTGATGCCTTTGCTTCCTCCTTCCAGTGTCCCCGTGAGTTGGATGGAGTAGGATAGCGGCAGGTCCAGGATCCTCGTCTCAGCCAGGTGGGCTCTGTGTCACCTACACCTAGGCCTCAAGTAGGAAAGAAGTTGTTTCTGGTGCTTTGAAAACTTCCGTTGTGCCTCGCAGTAAAAATTTGGCTTAATGGCATTCTGACATGTTACTTTTCTTTTGAAGTAGGAATTACTAATTTTTTTTTGTTATAATAGGGCTTACAAGATCTTATGGAACAAACGAATAGGCAGGTTGCCAAGCTGAATGGAATCTTTTCAGCAATGCAACAGTTTTGGGAGAGATCACTGATACCACAATGCGTAAGTATTATGAAAACAGTTTTACAACTTTGATAAATGTCTTGCTTCTAAAGATGCGAGACTGCTGGAAAGTGATATGGAACTAGGAATTCTGTGATATTAGCAAGGCTGATCTATACTATGATAGTAGCAGATAGGGAACTAAAACTCTGTTGAAAGAATGCTGAAGTTTAGGTTTGATGTATTACAACACAGTATTATTATGTCAGTAATCATCATGTACAAAATGTAGTGTTAAAGAGGAATAAAAATCATAATTTAAATACAGCATTTACCTTTAATAGTGGAAATATATAGCAAATAGTAAAAAGCTTTTTTTTTTTTGGTACTGGGGATCAAACTCAGGACCATGCACTTGTGAAGCAGGTGCGATGCCACTGAGCTAAATCCCTGGCCTCTGGTAAAAAGCTTTTTTTTTGGTACTGGGGATCGAACTCTGGACCTTGGGCTTGCGCAGCAGGCGCTGGAACCACTGAGCTAAATCCCCAGCCCTGAAAAGCTTTTTAATCCTCATTTTTACTCACAGTTGACTTAACTGGATTGGTGTTATTTTAGCGGTCATCTGGATTCATACAGAAAGTTTTGATTGTGTATCTCATGAGAAATTAAAGTCCAGGAACTGAAGAAAAGAACTTAAGTCATTTTGTTCTCTTACTGTGAACAGGGAAATAGCGCATCATTGCCAGTGGCAAGGTGGACAACCGATGCCCAGGCCAATGCTCCAGGAATATCGCTTCAGTCAGCAGAAAGCTGTCAAGTGCAGGAGCTTAGACACAGATAGAGGCCAGCACCTCCCTAGAACTGCCTCTATATATTCATTCCAGCCATGTCTTATGCAGGAGGAGAGTTCATGTGCTGGTCTCTCTGTAGTATCTTGCCCTTTCAATGGGAGTGCTAAAAGTTCTAACAATGTCTCCTCATTTTCCCAGCCTTCTGTAGCAGCATCTACAGAAGTTCCACCACCAGGATACCCTAGTGTGGCCAATAGCCCTGATAGGGTGAATTACTCGGACATTCTAAGAAATGGGAGCATGAGCCCAGAAACTACCTTGCCGTCGTCTGTCTTCATCCTTTCCCATTTTGGTGAGTTTGCAATGACATATATTATAAATGTCATCATTTAATCTAGATTTTAAAAAAATCCTTCCTGAAAACTGTCATTTTTTAATTAAAAGTTTTATATTGAGATTATTGTAGCTCCACAGGTAGTTGTAAGAAATAATGCAGAGATATCTCTTTTATCCAATTTTCCTCAGTGGTAGCATCTTTTAAAACTGTAATTGTATTCATCTTTGTCTCTGTAAATTTAGTTCTGTGCTTTTATTACATGAAAAGGTTTGTATGTTCATCATGATAGTCAAGGTACAGTACATTCTGTTACTACAGGGTTCATTTCTATCACCCAAGGTTGTATTGACTTTACAGCCAAACCCATTCCCCTCTGGCTGCCCTCCCCTTCCACTCTCACATATCACCAACCTTTGGCAAATACCCATCTGTTCTCTATCTGTAGTTTTGTCACCTCAATATGGCTATGTAACTGGACACATATACAGTGGTATAAAACCTTTTGATACTAGCATTTTTTCACTCAACATAATTCCCTGGAGATTCAACCAAGTCGAATATATCAGCAGTTCCTTTTTATTGTTAAATTCTGTAGACTTTGTTATAGGTGTAGCATGGTTTAACCATCCACCTGTTGAAGGAATTTTTCCCTAGTTTTTCACTATTAGGGATAAGGCTGCCATGAACATTATTGACAGATTTTTGTGTAAATTTAAGCTTTCACTTCTGTGGCATAAATTCTCTAGAGTGCAATTGCTGGTTATATGCTAATTACATGTTTAGTTATTTTAATTTTTGAGGTACTGGGCATTGGACCAAAGGCTTTGCACATGTTAGACAAGCACTCTACCACTGAACCGGCCCTAGTTTTTAAAATAGCTTTATTGAGATATAATTGATATCTTAGTTTATTTGTGTTTCTATAACAAAATAGCACAGAGTGGGAAATTTATAAAGAATAGAAATTTATTTTCTCACAGTTCTGGAGGCTGGAAAGTTCATGATCAAGGTGCTGCAGGTTTGATTGTCTGGTGAGGGTTGCATCCTCCAGAGGGGACAAAATCTCTGTCCTCACATGGCAGAGGGTTCAAAGGCAAGCTCACTGAACATTGCATAAAGCCTCTTTTAGAAGGATCTTGATACCATTCATGAGTAAGGAAACCTCATGACCTAATCACCTCTTAAAGGTCCCTTCTCTTAATACCGTCACATTGGCAACACTGAATTTTGGAGAGGATACATTCAAACCATAGTAATTAATATGCAAAATTATACACAAATTTAATGTACACAATTTGATGAGTTTGAACACATGAATAGTTTTATGAAAAACTATGTTTTCTAGCATGGCCAGACCATTTTATATTCCTGCCAGCTATATATGAGTGATACTGTTTCTTTGCATCCATATTTCTGTTCTTTCTATTATTCCTTTTTCCTGTTGCTTCAATATTCCTTTCATCATATCCTTTTTTTTGATGATCCTTTTTCATCATATCTTTATTTTCCTGTAGCCTTTCTTTTTTTTTGGTACCAGGGATCAAATTCAGGACCTTGTGCTTGCAAGGTAGGCACCAGAACCACTGAGCTAAATCCCCGGCCCTTTCTTTAAGGATAAATCTGTGAGGGATAATTTTAGTTTTCTTTCATGCAAAAATGTATTTTTTCTGTGCTACTCAATGATAGTTTTGCTATATATAAATTCATGGTAAGAGTTTTTGAAAATGTTCTTCTTATAGATATGCCAGGAATAGCAGAAGCTAGCTTGGAAAATAACCCTGAGACAAGGGATTACCCACCTGTAATGGATAATGACAATAGCCAGCATCTTTTGTCTTCGTCTGCCAACTCCTCATCTGATTCTGGTGAGTTTTAGATAATACACATTACAAGTAGCGCTAGTGAATATGGACCCATTAACATTGTTAATGCAAGCTAGTTGTTCATTTTTTTGTGGTACTGAGGGTTGAACCTAGGGCTTTCACACTGAGCTATATTCCCAGCACTTTATTCTTTTTTTTTTTTCCTTAAATTCTTTCATTGGTACATTTTAGGTATATAATATGTTTACATTTATCATTGGGTGCTTGTACCTGTACATGATGTGTCTTGGTTCTTATTTTTTTCCCCATTACCTGTGCACCCTTCACCCCCTCCACCCTTCCCTATTTACATAGATTTTGTTTCCATTTTTTTTCTTTTCTCATAATTTTTCCTTTCCCTTCTTGCCTTTCCCCTTCCCCTCCCCCTCCCACCACCCCTACATCTTTGGACCTTTTCCTATTGCAAATTATCTATTATTCGTTTTAATCATTTTAATCCTTATTTACACTTTCACTTTCTCACACTAGAGAAACTGTTAGGTATTTACACGTGTGTCCTATTTATTTCACTTAAGAATATGGCCTCAATATGCATCCATTTAGCTATAAATGTCTCTAGTTTCTCATTCTTTTTTTTTTTTTTTTTTTTTTTTTTTTTGGTACCGGGGATCGAACTCCTCAGGTCCTTGCATTTGCATAGTAGGCAGCGAAACCACTGAGCTAAATCCCTGGCCCTAGTTTCTTGTTCTTTATCCCAGCCCTTTATTCTTTATTTTTAAATTTTGAGACAAGGTCTTGCTAAGTTGCTGAATTGTTTGGGGTAGCTCAAACTTGTGATTCTCCTGCCTTAACCTCCCAGAGTGCAGGGATTACAGGTGTGTGCCACCATGTCTGGTTCACTTTTGTTTTTTTTTTTTTGTACCGGGGATTGAACTCAGGACCTTGTGTTTGCGAGGCAGGCGCCAGCACCACTGAGCTAAATCCCTGGCTCCTCTTTCTAAATTAAGCTTTTTATTTTGAAATAATTTTAGATTTACATATATTTGTAAAAAATAATGATTCCCTTTATACTTTACTCTTTTCTCTCAATAATAACATCTTGCAAAACTATGGTAAAATAACATAATCAGGATATTGACCTTGGTACAATTCACAGATGTTACTGAGATGTCCCCAGTTTTACTTGTAATTTTTGTACATTTGTATTTATTTCTATGCAAATTTACCACATGAATAGGTTTAATTGCCACCACCCTAGGCAAGATACAAAACAATTTGATTACAACTAGCTGCCTTATCTCCTTTTTTTATAACCATACCCACCTCTCTCCAGTCACCCTTTTCTTCCCTACTGCCTGTTCCCTAATGCCTGGCAAACATACTGTCTGTAATTTTACCACTTTTATTATGTAAAGGAAATTTCGTGGTATGTAGTTTTTTAAAGTCAGCATAGTTTTGTGAAAACTCAACTCATGCAAGTGGTTCTATGTATAGATAGAATGTTTCTTCTTTTGTGATGCTGGAGATTGAACCAGATCTTGAGCATGCCAGGCAAGTACTCTACTGCTGAGCTATATCCCCAGCCATTTTTTATTTTATTTTGAGACAGATTCTCACTAAATTTCCCAGGCTGGTCTTGAATTTGAGATCCTCTTGCCTCAGCCTCCTGAGTAGCTGAGATTACAGGTGTGCACTACTATACCCAGCTAGTTCCTTCCTTTTTATTGCTGAATAGTTTTCCATGGTTTGGTTATGCAATAGTTTTTAACTATTCACTCATTCAAGGACATAGGTTATTATTCCCCCCAGCTTTTGGTATTAGGCATAAACCTCTATGAACACTCATGTGCTAGCTGTGTATAAGTATAAATTTTCTTTTCTGTCATGAATCTCAAGAGTGTAATTTCCAAGTCTTTGGGGGAATAGCATGTTTAGTTTTATAAGAAACTGCCAAACAGTTTTCCAGAGAAGCTGTACCATTTTACATTCCCAATAGCGATGATCCATTTTTTCTACATTGATATTTATGATCTTTCCATTGTTCTTTTCTCTTGATACTCTGAAATTCCTTCTTTTGTAATATCCTTTCTGTTTGCAGATTTTCCTTCAACCTTTTATATGGGTAAGTATGCTTAGGACAGATTCTTTTCGTTTTCTTTTGTGTGGGAATATTATTTCACTAGTTTTCCTTGAAGAATAATTTCACCTTATATAGAGTTTAGGGTTGAGGATCATTTTCTTTCAGGCACTGATAAAGTTACACTGGTAGAAATACTGGCAAAAGCAGAAGCCAACCTGAAAGATCGTGATAGGACAGTATACTACCCAGCTTTACTAGGAAGTTTTGCTGAACAAGCACCTGCCTTGCATCTGCCACCACCTCTCCCAATTTTGGCAAGTTTGAAATGATACACAATACAAGTAGCACTTTTTAGTTTAGATTCAGTGTTCTTAACATTAACTCTTGATGGCAGCTTTCTAAAATTAAACTTTTCATTTTGCGATATTTCAGAATCGCCTGCAAATACAGGAAATAATACAGAGATCTTGTGTATTCTTCACCCACTTTTCCCCAATAGTAATATTTTACAAAACTACATTTTTCTTTTTTTTTTTAGTTCTTTTATTGGTACATTTTAGGTATACAGTTCGTTTACATTTATCATTGGGTGTTTGTACCTGTACATGATATATCTTGGTTCTTATTTTTTCCCCATTACCTGTGCGCCCTTCACCCCCTCCGCCTTTCCCTATTTACATAGGAACCCTTCTCCGTTGCTGGTGGGAGTGCAGACTGGTGCAACTACTGTGGAAGTTAGTATGGAGATACCTCAAAGAACTAGGACTAGAGGTCCCATTTGACCCAGCTATTCCTCTGCTGAGTATCTTCCCAAAAGAATTAAATAATCATACCACAGTGATATATGTGCACCCATGCTCATAGCGGCACAGTTTGTAATAGCTAAAGCTTGGAAGCAGCCCAAGTGCCCATCAACTGGAAACTGGATGAAGAAAATGTGGTTTATTTATAAAATGGAGTACTACTCAGCCATAAAGAATGAGAAACTAGAGTCATTTATAGCTGAATGGATGCATATTGAGGCCATACTCTTAAGTGAAATAAATAGGACACACATGTGTTAAGTACTGAATAGTTTCTCTAGTGTGAGAAACTGATAGTGTAAACAAGGGTTTAAATGATTAAAATGAATAATTGATAATTTGAAATAGGAAAAAAGGTCGAAAGATGAAGGAGTGAAGGGGGGAGGGTAAGGGGAAAGGAAAAGAGGGAAAGGGAAAAACTACATTTTTCCATTGATGCCATCCACAGATCATACTGAGATGTCCCCAGTTTTGCTTGTATCTTTTTATGTGTGTATGTATTTGGCACTAGGCAATTTTATCCCAGGAGTAGGTTTTTGTGTCCATCCTCACAGTCAAGGGAGCGAGCATTTCCATCAGTGCAATGTGCTGTTTGCCCATAACCACACCCAACTCTTGGGTCACCCTCCCTGCAATATCACCCATCCCTAACACCTAGATACCATTGACCTCTTTTCCAGCTCTATAATTTTGTCCCTTCAGATTTTTATGTAAGTGCAATCATATTTGAGATTGGCTTTGTTTACCACTCACCTTAATTTTGTAGAAACTCAACCAGATTGTTGTGTGTTTTAATAGTTTATTTTTTTATTGTTGAATGGTATTCCATGGTTTGGATATATTTTGCTTAACCATTCATCTGTTGAAAGACATCTGGGTTTTTTCCCTAATTTTTGGCTATTGAGAATAAAGCTACTGTGCATATTCATGTGCACATTTTTGTGTAAATATGTTTCCATTTCTTTCTATTGATGAGTTTTCCATGGTATAGATATAAACACGGTTTTTTAAAACTATTCACTCAGGGTCAGGGATTTAGCTCAGTGGTGCTGGCACCTGCTCCGCAAGCACAAGGTCCTCAGTTAGATCCCCGGTACCAAAAAAAAAAAAAACCCAGACTATTCACTCATTGAAGGATATCTGGTTTTCTTCTTTCCATTTTTTTTTGGATATTGTAGGTAAAGCTGTTATGAACATTCATATCCTGGCTTTTGTGTAAATGTAAGTTTCTATTCCTCTGTCGTGAATGGCAAGAGTGCAATTGCTGGCTTTATGATAATATGTTTTGTTTTACAAGAAACTGACTGCCAAACAGTTTTCCAAAGCGGCTGTACCACTTTAAATTCTCAGTAGCAATGTATGGGCGATTTCCTACACCTATATTTCTGATCTTTCCATTGTTCTTCCTTTTTGATCCTCCAAAATTCCTTCTTTTGTAAATGTCCTTTTTATTTGAAGACTTTTCTTTAGGTATTACATTTTTTTTTTCTTGAGACAGGGTCTTGCTATGTAGTCCAGGCTGGCCTTGAACTTACTATGTAGCCTAGGCTGGCCTAGAATTTGCAGTGATTCTCCTGCGTCATCCTCCCAAGTGCTGGAATTATAGTTGTGCACTACCATATCTGTCTTTTTGTTTTTTTTTGAGTCAGGTCCACTATTAGTCTAGGCCAGTCTTGAACTCTGTGTAGCTCAGGCTGGCCTCAAACTCAAAATCCATCATGCCTCAACCTTTTGAGTGCTAAGATTACAGGGATGTGCCACCATGTCTAGTTCTTTACCTGTTTTTTTAAGGGTAAATCTGGCTGGGTGTTGTGGTGCACACCTGTAATCCCAGCACTGGGGAGGATAAGGCGGGGGATCATTGTGAGTTCAAGGCCAGGTTGAACTACATAGTGAGTCAAAAAACAAACAAAAACCACCATCACCACCAACAAAGGTAAATCTGCTAGGGACAAATTCTAATTTTACTTTTTGTGAGAATATTTTTATTTCCCTCTTTATCCTGAAGGATAATTTTACCCAGTATTGAATTCATGATTAAGAATTCTTATTCTTCAATAGATAAAAAATTTATACTGATAGAAATGCCAGCAAATATGGAAAACAGCTCAGAAGACAGTCCTGAGATAGAGAGTCACCCATCTTCGTTGGAAAATGACAGAGATCAAAGTCCTTCATCTTCATTTTACTTCATTTGCACCAATTGTGGTGAGTTCAAAATGATTCATAGTCCTAGCTAATATCACTGTTTCGTCTAGATCCATGAACATCCTTAATGCAAATCTAGTGGTACTTTTTAACTACACTTTTAATTTTGTGGGAATGTAAGGTACACAGATAGTTGTAAGAAATGATACAGAGAGAAATATCCTTTACACTTTACCCATTTTTCCCAATAACAATTTTGTATAATTATGATAGAACAACATCACAACCAGTATATTGGCATTGATGCAGTACACAAATCTTATTGATATTTCGTTGGTTAATTGTATTAATTTGTGTGTATGTATTTAGTTCTATTCCATTTTGTCATCTGAGTAGGTTTGATGTCCAAGATAAACAACATTTCCATTACCACGAGGATGTCTCCTCTTGCCCTTTTATAACCATACCTAATCTCAGCATAATTCCCTGGAGATTCTTCTGTCTTCTTACATATATCAGTTTTCCTTTTGTAATTGTTGAATACTGTTTCATGCTGTGGATGTACAACAGCTTGTTTATCTGTTGTTCATCCATTGAAGGACACCTGGGCCTTTTTCAGTTTTTAACTATTAAAAGTAAGCTTCGACGACTTTTCATGTATGGGTTTTTGTATAAACATAAGTTTTGATTTCTCTAGGATAAGTGTTTAAGAGTGCAAATGCTTGGTCGTATGGTCATTGCATGTTTTATAAGTGCCAAATGGTTTTTGAGCAAGCCTGTATACCATGTTAGGTTCCCAACAGCTATGTATAAGTGATTATTTCTGCTCCCTTATACATTCATTTTTCTTTCTTCATTTTTCATGCTCCAAGATTTGGTCTTTCACGATTCTTTTCTGTCTGAAAATTTTTTAGCTATTCTCTTTTTTTGTTTTATTTTGTTATTGCTATATTTTCTAGGCTGGTCTCAAACTCATGGGCTCAGGCAGTCCTCCTCCCTCAGGCTTCCAAGTAGCTGAGATTATAGGCATACACCACTGTATCTGGCTAGCCATTTTTTTTTTTTGTACGGGGGATCGATCTCAGGACTTTGCGCTTTCGAGGCAGGTGCTCGAACCACTGAGCTAAATCCCGGCCCTAGCCATTCTATTTAGTGTACCTCAGCTGTTAACACATACTTCTAGTTTTCTGTCATGTGAGAATATTTTTATTTCCTCTTCATTCAGGAAGAATAGTTTTGCCTGATACAGAATTCATGATTGAGATTTCTTTTTTTTCAATATTTGATAATATTTATTTATAGAAATGTTGGCAAAAAGCACAAACCAGCCTGGAAAGGAGCCCTGAGACAAATTATTTTCCTTTATTGGAAAATGACATAATCTCACTGCCTCTTCCATCATTTTGTTGAATTTGAAATGACATGTGTTGCATGTAGCACTATTGAACCTAGGTTCATTAACGTCTGTAGTGTAAGATAGTAGCTTTTTCTAATTAAACTTTTTAATTTTCAGAAAAAATTTAGCCATATAGACAGTTGTAATAAATAATGCAGCAAGAGCCTGTGTTCCCATTACCCAGTTTTTTACCAGGATATTGATATTGTCCATATATATTGAGATGTGCCCAGTTTTACTTGTCTTTATTTGTGTGCATATGTATGTATGTGTGTCACAGTTTAATTTTACTATAAGTGTAGAGCCATGTATCTTCTACTATAGGAATCCCCTGAATAGTTCTGTCACCACCATGATCCCTTATGTTGCTCTTTTATGACCACATTTGCTTTCTCCAAACAATATTCCTTTCCCACCTCTGCTTTCTCTAACTGCTGGCAACCACTAATCTGTTCTCCAGATCTGTAGTTTGTCCCTTCAGTATCATATAAATGGAATCACATAGTATGTAACATTTGAGTTACTTTTTTCTCTTCAGTATAATTCCCTGAGGATTCACTCATATTGTTGTATATCTTTCATCCCTTTTCATTGCTGAGGAGTATTCCATGGTCTAGATGCACTATAATTTGTTTATCTCTTCACCCATTGAAATCTCTAGGTTTCTTGTTTTTGACTGTTACGCATAACATTGGTGCAAACGCTCATTTAAGGTTTTAGTTTAGCTTTATTTTATTTATTTTGTTTGTTCACACAAGTTTTCATTCCTTTATGGTGAATGCCCAAGAGTCCAACTGCTGGGTCCTTTGGTAATTGCATCTTTAGTTTTATATGAAAGTGATAAACTGTTTTCCAGTGGCTGTACTATTTCCCATTCCTACCAGAAATGCATGATGGTGCTAGTTTCTCTGTAACCATACTTCTGCTCTTCTTTCTTCCTTCCTGATGCTCCATTCCTTCTATCATAGTCTTTCTGATCAAAGACTTCCCTTTAGACATTTTTTTTTTTGGTACTGGGGATCATACTCAGGTCCTTGCGCTTGTGAGGCAGGGAGTGGAACCACTGAGCCAAATCCCCGGTCCCCCTTAAAGACATTTTTAAGTTAAGAGGCAACTAGTAACAAATACTTTTGTTTTTTCTTTGTGAATATCTTTATTTTCACTTCGTTTTTGAAGGATGGTTTGCTGGATATGCAATATGATTAGTGTTTTCTTACAGCATTTCAAAAATGTTTTCTTTATAGGAATGTTGAGTAAACAAGAAACTGGCCTTGAAAGGAGCCCTCAGACAACGAACAACTTACCTTTCGTGGAATATGAGAGTGATATATCTCCCTATTCATCTATGTCTAGTAAGTCCAGTCCTGGTGAGTTTGAAATGATGTATACCACATGTAGACTAGTTAATCTAGATCAGTGGTGGCGAACCTATGACATGTGTGCTGTAGCCAACTCTGTTACATTGAAAGATGTAAAAGGTTCACCATCACTTTCTTCATATGAGTCAATGGTAGCTTTTCCTAATGGTAAATTATTTTGAGAAAGTTTTAGCTGCACAAAATTTTCCCAGTGAGAACATCTTGCAAATGTCTAGTAAAATGTCAAAACAAAGATATTTATGTAGATAAAATCAAATTTTATTGAGATGTCCTCATTTTTACTTGTGTGTGTGTGATTTCATGACATGAGAAGGTTTCCAAATCCTCCATCACAATCAAGATACAGAAATAAAGATCCTACCTGTTACCCTTTGAAGCCATATCCACTTTCCTCCTTTAACCCTCTTAACTTCTGTTCTGCCCTATTTCTCCCACTTGCAACCATTAATCTGTTCTCCTTTATATTTTTTTTTAAAAATTGTAGTTTATATAAGTAGACTCATAGTCTACCATCTTTTGAGATTGGCTTTTTCACTCTGCATAATTCTCTGGAGGTTCATCCAAGTCACTGCATGTATCAGTAGTTATTTCTTTTTTACTGCTGAGTACTATTTCATGGTATAGATATACCATAGTTCATTTCTTTTTTTCACCCATTAAGTGATATTGGGGTTGTTTCCTGTTTCTGGTATTTAGAATTAAAGCTGTTATGAACATTCATGTACAGATTTTTGTGTGAACATATGTTTTCATTTCTTTGACATACTTCCCAAGAGTGCAATTGCTTCATCAACATATTAATTGTATGTTTGGTTTTATAAAACACTGCTAAACTGTTTTCCAGAGTGGCTGTAATATTTTCTGTTCCCTCAAGAATTGTAGGAGTGATCTAGTTTCCCTACATAAATATTTCTGCTCTTTCTGTTATTGTTGTTTTTTTTCTTTTTTGTTTGTTTGTTTTTTGGTACCTGGGATCGAACTCAGGGCCTTGCGCTTGTGAGGTAGGCAGCAGAACCACTGAGCTACATTTTTTTCTTTTTTGATGCTGCAAGATTCCTTCCTTCATATCCTTTCAGATTGAAGATTTTCCTTTAGTCATTCTTTAAGGGTAAGTCATCCAATGACAACTTTTTAAAAAAGTGTTTCTTTGTATGAGAATGGCTTTATTTTTCCTTCATTCTAGCAGGATAAAAAAACTGGGTGAGATGTTTTGTCTTTCAGCACTTAAAAATACTTTACATATTAAGATGTATTATGCACATATACCAACTCCCCATGATAAATGTAATCATTGTATACTACAAACATGTACTATAAAAATAAAAAATAAAGGGGCTGGGGATTTAGCTCAGTGGTTTCGCCACTGCTGCGCAAGCACAAAGACCCGAGTTTGATCCCTGGTACCAAAAAAAAAAAAAGATAAAAAATAAAATGTTGCTCAAAACAATCCAACTTATAAATGAGACCTGAGTCAATGAATGGCCCAAATTTAATTAAAAAATGACAGTGATCAAGATAGTAATACAGAATCTTCTTTCATCAGTTCCAGTTTTGGTTAGTTTGTAATGGTACCTATTGCAAATAGCACTCTTTATTCTAGACTCATCAGTATTCTTAATATTATTTCTTAGTGATAACTTCTCAAAATTAAACTTTACATTTTGAGATATTTCAGAATTATATGTCAACGTAAGAAACAATACAGGAAATTCTTGTATAACCTTTACTCAGTTTCCCCCAGTAATAATATTTTGCAAAAAACAGTAAAATGTCATAACTAGGATTTTAACATTGATACAATTGATCCTAGTTACTGACATTGGTCTATTATATGTCTTCAGCTTTCTCTGTATTCATTTGTGAATGTATGTGTATTTAGTTCTCTGCAATCTTATAACATGTACAAGTTCAGGTATCCATCAAATTCTGAACTGTCCCATCACTTTCAGGAACCATTTTGTTGATTTTTTATAAATACGTTTACCTCCATATCATTCCCTCCCTGATCTCTTCCCTCACCCATCCAACTGGTAGTATGTTCTCCCTCGTTATAATTTTGTCCTTGCAAGAATGTTTACTACAGTGTTATACAAACAAACTCATATAGCATTTAAATTTGGGGAGTGGCTTTTTCTACACAGAACAATTCCTTGGAAATGTATCTATTTTTTGCATAAGTAGTAGCTTTTTGCATTTTAGCTGATCATTCCTTCTAACTGGTGAGTACTGTTCTGTTGTATGAATATATCATGGCTTGTTTATCCATTTACTCTTTAAAGGATATCTAGATTGTGTCCAGTTATTTGGCTATTAAAAGCAAAGCTGCTACAAGCACTAGTGTATAGGTTTTGATGCGAACATATATTTTTCATCCATTTACTTGCGTGGTGGTATGCTAAATGCATATTTAGTATTATAAGAATGTGTATTAAACAATTTCCAGAGTGGGTAAACCATTTTACATTCCTACTAACAATATGTAATTCACTTTCTCTGTATCCTTACTAGTCATTGGTGGTTTATTTTTTATTTTAGCCATTTTAATAGGTGGATTCAACGTGTATTTGCCTTTTCATGTGCTAATTTTCCATCTTTGTATTCTTTTCTATGAAATACCTGATTGTGTCTTAAATTAGTGTGGGTTTTTTTTTTTTTTTTTGGTACTGGGGATTGAACTCAGGACCTTGCACTTAAGAGGCAGGCAGCAGAACCACTGAGCTAAATCCCCGGCCCAATGTGTTTTTTTTTTAACCACCGAGTTTCAAGTTAGTTACATTATAGATACTAGTCTTTTGTTGGACATGCAGTTTGCAAATATATTCTCCTGTCTTCAATTTGCCTTTTTGTCTTCCCTATACTGTAGGGTTTTTCCCGTGCTGACAGAAAGCTTTTAATTTACATGAAGTCTAATTTATCCAGTTTTCTTCTTATTGGCTCTCTTTCTTCCATTGAATTGCTTTGCACCTTTATCAAATATAAGTTAGGGTTCCCAGTTATGTTCCACAAACTGGTTTTTTTTTTTCTTTTTTTGTGTGGTACTAAGGATTGAACCCAGGGTCTTTGCTCTGAGACATTCCACACCTTTTTATTTTATATTTTATTTTGAACCCGGTCTTGCTAAGTCACTAAATTGCCCAGAGTGAGTTTGAACTTGTGATCCTTCCTACCTCTGCCTCTCAGAGTGCTAGGATTACACTCCCACACCTGGCTCCACTGATCTGTTTCTGTCCCCTGCCACATCACACTATCATGATAATCGTTGTTGCACAGTAAGCTTTAACATCAGGTAGAATGAGCCTTCCTGCTTTATTCTTCTTTTTCAGAATTTCTTTAGCTATTCTAGGTCCTGTGCCTTTCCATATTAATTTTAGAATAATCTTGTTAATGTTTAAAAAAAAACTTTCTGAAATTTTTGATAGGAATTATCTTTTTAAAATTTTATTGGTACATTTTAGGTATACAATATAATATTCATCATTGGAAATTTGTACTTTACATAATCTACTGTGGTTCTTATTTTTTCCCCATTCCCCTGCTCTCCCTTCAATCCCTCTGCCCCTCTCTATTTACAAAGACTTTGTTTCCATTTTTTTCATTTTCTCATATTAATTCCATTCCCTTCTTTCCTTTCCCCCAATCCCTCCCACTTCCCCTTCCCCCTTGGACCTTTTCCTATTTCACAATATCATGTCTTTGGATCCTTATTTACACTTTCAGTTTCTCACACCAGAGAAACTATTCAGTATTTACATGGGTGTCCTATTTATTTCACTTAAGAGTATTGCCTCAATGTACATCCATTTAGCTATAAATGTCTCTAATTTCCCATTTTATAAAAAACCACATTTAGGAATTATCTTAAAACTACAGATCAACTTGGGGAGAATTAAGAAAAAAACTCAATTCCTTGAGATTTTCTATCTAGCTAATTATGCCTCTTGAAAATATGCACCATTTTATTTTTTCCTGTCCAGTCAGTTTGTCTTTTATTTATCTTGCCTTATTCCAGTGGCTAAAACTTCCAATTTTATATTGAATATGAGTGGTTAGAGTAGAAAACCTTGTCTTGATTCTGCTCTCAAGGGTAACTCATTTAGTTTTTCACTATTTAGTATTATATTAACTTTAGGCCTTTCATAGATGCTCTTTAATAAGTAGTTTCACTCTTTTCCTAATGAGCTGAGAGCTGTCATGAATGGTTGACAGATTTTGGCAAGTGCTTTTTCTATGTCAGTATTCACACGGTTTTTCATATATTTAGCCTGTTGGGACAGTAGCCTATCTTGATGAATTTTTTAGTGTTGACCAGCCTTGCATAATTGGTCATGGTGTGTAATAATTAATATACATTATTTATTTTATTTGCAAATATTTGACTAGGGATTTTTGTGTCCACTTTCATAAAAGATGTTGATTTGTAGTTTTTTTTTTTCTTGACTTCCTTTGTCTGATTTTGGTATCAGTACACACTAGTCTTAAACTGAGTAGCTATGTGATCTCTCTTATCTTACAGAAGAATATGTGATAAGTTGGTTTTAATTCTTTATTTGGTTAAAATGTCCAGTAAAATCATCTGAGTCTGTATATTCCTTAGTGGATAACTTTCACTTACAAATCCCATTTCTTTGATGCTTATGGAACTATTTAGATTACATATGCCATCTTGGTTGAGTTTTGATAGCTTGTAGTTTTGGAGGAGTTGGTTATTTTTTCTAAGTTACTGAAATATATGAATGTAATATGGTTGTGGTATTTACCATTATTCTTTCAATGGCTGCTGAATATTCAGTGATATCCCTTGTTTCATTCTTGATGTTTATGGTTTATATCATCTCTTTGTGTTTTTCCAGAAGTTTGTTAGCTATATTGATATTTTTGGGTAATCACCTTTTTACTTCATTGATTTCCTATTATTTCTATGCTTTCAGTTTCATTGGTATGTTCTTTATTGTTTCATTCTCTTACTTCTATTTTATTTTACTTTTCCTAGCTTTTGGTTAAGGAACTTAGAGATTAGATAATTTTCCTCTTTTCTAATATAAGTATTTAGTGTTATAAATTTTACTTTTGGTACTGATTTATCTGTGTCCAGTATGTTTTGGTGTGTTGTATTTTCACTAAGTCCAACATACTTTTTAATTTCCTTAGAAAATTCCTCTTGATATGTGGAGTATTTAGGTGTGTGTTGTTTAATTTCTAAGCATTTAGAGAATTGCCTATTGTCTTTATTATTGGTTCCATTGTGGTTGGAAAATATACCCCCTATGATTTCTGTTCTTTTAAATTGTTGGGATTTGTTTCTCTAGCCCAGGATGTGGTCTGTGCTGGTGAATGTTCCATAGGCATTTAACAATGTATGTTCTGCCTTTTTTGGGTGGAATATTCTGTGATAAAAATCTTGTTGATTGGTCCATGTTATTCAGATCTTCTATACCTTTGATTATTTTCTGTCTTGTTGTCCCATCAGTTACTGAGAAGCTGGTGTTGAGGTTCACCTATAATTGTGGACTTGTCAGTTTCTCCTTTCAGCTCTTTCAGTTTTTGAGATTGTTGTTTCCTATATACACATTGAGGATCATTAGATCTTCCTGGGGGTTAATACTTTTATTGTTACATAACAACCTTTCTCTTCTAGTAACTTTCTTTGCTCTGCTGCTTTATTTTTGGATTGATGTTTACATGGTATATATTTTTCATCGTTTTACCCTTTTTTTCATTACTGGGGATTGAGCCTAAGCCCTTTACACTGAGCTACATTTCTCAGCCTTTTAAATTTTTTTAAATTTTGTGACAGGGTCTTGCTAAGTTGATAAATTACCCAGGCTGAACTTGGACTTGTGATCTACTTCAGCAAGTGTAATCCTGGTACTAGGATTACAGGCATGCACCACCATGCCCAGCTTCATCCTTTTCATCCTTTTCCTTTCTGTTTGTTTGTTGTTTTGGTTTTTTGAGTCAGGGTCTTGCTATGTAGTTCAGGCTGGCCTTGAACTCACTATGTAGCCCAGGCTGGCCTTGAATTCACAGAAATCCTCCTGCCTCAGCCTCCTGAGTGCTGGTATTGCAGGCATGCACTACCATGCCTGGCTCATCCTTTTACATTTTTTTTCATTTTTTTTTGGTACCGGGGATCGAACTTGGGACCTTGCGCTTGCGAGGCAGGCCACGAAACCACTGAGCTAAATCCCCGGCCCTCATCCTTTTACTTTTAACCTACCTATGTCATTGAAATTGTAGAGCCTCTTATAAACAACATATAGTTCCATCTTATTTTTTTATCTACTTTGTCATTGTTGCCATTTAATTGATGTGTTTAGACAATTTGCATTTAAGATATTTATTGTCATCCTAAGGTCTCTGTCTTTAATTTTATTATTATTTCATTTTATTTTATTAAAAATTTTTTTGGAGTCCTGGGGATTGAGCCCAGGGTCATTGCACCGAGCTACATGTCCAGCACTTTTTTCTTTTTTACTTTTTTTTTTCTGTACCAGGGATCCAACTCAGGACCTTGTCTTTTTTTACTTTTTGAGATAGGGTCTTGGTAAATTGCTAAGTTGCCCGGGCTGGGCTTAAACTTGTGATTCTCCTGCCTCGGCTTCCCAGCATGCTGGAATTACAGGCATATGCCATCATATTTGGCTTCATTTGTTTTTATGTTTCTTTCTTTTGTTAGTCATTACTGTATTTCTATTTCTTGCCTTTCTTTAGGTTACTTGAGTGGTTTTTAGTATTCCATTTTGATTTATTACTTTGAGAGTATTATTTTGCATAGGTTTCCTAGTGGTTGCTCTAGATTATTATATATATATATCACTTATCACAGTCTGTTGGTATGAACATTTTGCCACTTGGAGTAAAGTTTTTTCTTTTCTTTCTTTGTTTTTGAGATAAGGTCTCACTAGTCCAGGCTGGATTCCAACTTGCTCTGTTGCCCAGGCTGTCCTTGAACTCATAATCCTTCTGCCTTTGCCTCCCAGGTGTTTGTCACCATGCCTGGCTTGGAGTAAAGTTTTGAAACTTTAATTCTTCTTAAGTCCCTTTGGCCTCCCCACTTTTGTTTCATTGGGTTAGGTATCAGATGGAGTTTTTATTTTGGTTTCAGAAATTCCATATGATTTAGAAAGTTCATGATTTTAAAAAAAATTACCTATATTTCTGCTCTTCCTTTCTATTGCTAAGTAGCATTCTATGGTATAGATTTATCACAATTTGCTTAACCATTCATCCATTGAAGGACACTTCAGTTGTTTTTAGCTTTGGGCTATCACAAATAAAGCTAAGAGCACTCATGTGCTGGGATTTATGTCAGCATGGACTTTTATTTCTCTAAGATAAATGCCTAAGAGTGATATTACTAGGTTATGTGGAATTGCAGATACAGTTTTTAAAGAAACTGCCAAACTGTTTTCCATTGTGGCGGTTCCATTTTTACATCTCCCCCAGTAATATATGAATGATCTAGTTTCTCCACATGCATATTTCTATTCTTCCTTTCTTTTTGATGCTCCAGGAGTCCTTCCATCATCATAATTTTCCTGTCTGAAGACCTTCCTTGAGCTATTCTTTAAGAGTAGGTGTGCTGGTGACAAATACTTTTACTTTCCTCTTGTGTCTTGTGTGTTTATTTTCCTCTCATAGCCAAAGAACAGTTCTTGCTGGATATAGAATTTGCAGTTGAGAGCTTATTTCTTTTAACATTTTTACTTACAGAAACATCAGTAAAAACAGGAACCAATATGGAAAACAACTGTGGCCTGAAGAATTGCCCAAACTTACTGAGAAATTATGGTGGTCAGCATCATTCCTCATCATCTGTTTCTCGTTGTTTTCATTTTGGTAAGTCTGAAATGACACCTATTACAAGTAGCACTGTTTAACCTACGTTCATTAGCATTTTGCTGCAAGCTAGTGGAAGCTATTTGTTTCCTATTTTGAGGTGGTACAATAATGACTTGAATTTATTAAGTGCATTTTATTTACAAGGCATTGTGGTGATCAACTGACATACTTCTTCTCACTTAATACTCATAATGACTCCATGATGTGTTGGCATTTTTATTACTCAAATCTTCAAGTTCACAAAGCAGATGAGTGACACTTGGTGAACTCTACCTCAGTTATCTTTAACTTTAAAGCTCATGTTGTTTACCAGTCCACTGTACTTCCTCCCAAGCCACAGTGGTAGAGATGAGGGGACCCAAGGCTCTGTGGTCTCTAAGGGCAAGCCTTCCAAATAATTTATAGTTCCTTTTGGTCTTCATTTCTGAGTCCTTATCACTAATTAATACTCTAGAGCAGAAGTCAGCAAACTTTATTTGTTTATCTGTCTGAACTGCTCACCTCTGCTGTTGTAACAAAAAAGCAACCAGGGATGATGTGTCAGTGGACCAGTGTGGCTGCACACTTGTGCATCTTCATTTATACAAACAAGCATTGAGATCAGCCTGGGGACTGCAGTTTCCTGACTCTCCTAAAGCACAGCCTTTCCTTTAAATTGTTTTGTTACCAAAACTAGAAGAAACATTGAGAAATTGTACTCTTTGTACTAAAATGAGCACATTGGTGCAGTAAATTTACAATTTACAATTGTAAATTGGAGACTTTCTGAAGGGTAGTTTGTAAAAATCCACTAACATATTTATGCCAGTTGATTTAGTAATCCCACTTCTATCTAAAGCTATAATAAAAATATTTACATTAAAATTTTGGTATAAGAATGTCCTTTTAGGGGCCGGGGATGTAGCTTATCTGCACAGTGCCTGCCTGGCAAGCATGAGGCCTGAGTTCTATTCCTGGAACGAAAAGAAAAAAGAAAATCCTTTTATAGAATCGTGGAAAACTGGCAACAAATAAGGAACAATAGGGAATTAGTTAAGTGACTTCTATTGTATCCATTGTCTTAGTTACTTTCTTATAACTGAGACCACAGTACCCAACATTTACAGTTTAAAGGAAGAAAGGCTTATTTTGGCTCAGAGTTTGTAGAGGTTTCAGTCCATACTTGGCTGGCTCCAAGGATGGCATGATCCTTCAAGGGAAGAGAAGGGAGTAGGAAGGATATATATTTCCAGGACACACCCTCAGTGACCCACCTCCTCCAAGCAGGCTTCACCTCCCAACATCACACTCCGCTACCATCAGTGGACTAATCCAGCACCACACACCCATAAACCAGTCCCCTGCCTATAGTCCCACCTAAGAGCACATAAAGCGTCAATGGACATTTAGATATAAACCATAACATTCTGCCCCTGGCCCCCCAAAGACTCATGTGCGTCTCTTTGTGCAAAATGCATTTAGTCTATTTCTAAGAGTTGCCAAAGTCCTGACAGTTTCAGCATTGCTGAAAAGTCCAAGACCAAAGTCTCCTCTGAGATTTAAGGCAAACACTTAGCTGTGAGCCCCTGTACAAATGAAAAGAAAGTTAAACTCTTCAAAGACACAGTGGCCCAGAATAAGCACTATCATTCGAAAAAGTAGAAATAGATGGACAGAAAGGAATGGGACCAAAGCAAGACCAAAATTCAGCAGGGCAAACATTAAATCCCATAGTTCCATGTCCAGCACCCAGGGCAATCTGTGGCAAGATGTGAACTCTGAACCACTTGTGTGGTCCTGCCTGAATGCCGTGCAGGTGGTTGCATTTCTCACTGCTTCTCTCTTGGGCTGGCTTTGTTCACTCCTTGAAGCTTTCCTCAGATGATTCATGTTCCTGGTTTTTCCAGTATCCTGAGTTCACCATAGCACTTTAGGCTTCCCTCTCACAGCTTCAAGAACTGCCTTCTCAGGAGCACACTGCCTGGCCTCCCAGGCCTTTTTCTGAAACCATGGCCTTGCTGATCCTACAACTCTTGCATTCTGCATGCATGCAAAACCAGCACCACATGGATGGATGATGCCAAGGTCTTTCACCAGCTGGAGTGGTAGCTGAACCCTTTTGCATTTTGCTGGTAGTTGCAGAAACCCCTGAATGCCTGGATGGGTGAACAAGTTGACCTGAATCCCAAGGAATCAATTACTATTTGCTAGGCTGCCCCCATTCTGGACAGGGTACCCTGAGGCCCTCTTGTCAAAGCAAAGTCTTTCACTTTTGTAATTTTGAGCCTTCAAAGGGTGGGGGTCCTGCTGGTTCTTGTGATGCCCCCAGGCTATCTTTTCTATTGTCCTGGTCCAAAGTACATGGATTCATTTTAATGCTAATTTCTTCAGCAGCCAAGCTCTCCTCTGCTCTATCTGTGCGGGCCCCTATTTTATCAGAACTTCTTTTCTGGCCAAACTCAAAAACGTTTAAAATCATTCTGCTGGAACATGTGCTCTTGATTCTCAATGTAGAGCTACCCCAAAGCCCCTAGCAGTAGCAATTACCACTGTCTCGACATTAAACTGCCTTGGAATTTCTTCTGCCAGATTAATTAGTCCACCACCCTTAATCTTAGTCCCCCACAATGTCTCCAGACATGAGGAAAATATAGACAAATTTTCAGCTGGAGCATAACATACATGGCCTGAAGTCCAGCTGCCAACACAATCCTTGTTCCCAACTGAAACTTCCTGAACCTGGTCTTTATTGGCTGCATTTCTATCAGCATTCTGGTTTTCTAAGCTCTTACCAGAATCTCCCATCAAGATCAGCTTACAGCATACTAGGGCTGCTTCTTTAGCCAGCGACTCCAAACCTTTCAAGACTCTTCCCACAAGCCATTTCCAAAGGCTTCTGAACCATATAGCTAGGTAGTGTCAAAGCAATGACTTCTCTGGTACCAAAATCTGTCTCAGTTACTTTCTTATTGTTGGGACAAAATACCTGATACCCACAAGTTAAAGAAGGTTTATTTAGGGTCACAGTTTGTAGAGGTTTCAGTCCATAGTCCACTGGCTCCAAGCAGGGTGGCATGGCAGAGAGGCATGGCAGAGGAGGAAGAGTTCATGATATGGTGCTGAGAAGCAAGGAGGGAGCAAGGGAGTAGGAAGGATATATACTTCCAGACCACAACCTCAGTGACCAGCCAGGCTTCACTTCCCAGCTATAAATCAATCAGTGGACTAATGCAGTATCACACACCCATGATCCAGTATCACATACCCATGATCCAGTCACTTCCCCCAAACCCCTCCTATGAGCACACGTGGGTTTGGGGGACATTTTAGACACAAAGCGTTAACACTATGGCATGTAAGGCAGTGAAGAATAATGTCTGAGAACATGGACTCTTAAGTGTAACTGCCTGGTGGGTTCACATCCCAGCTCTGTATCTTACTAACCTGTGACCTTCAGCTACTTTTCCAATCTAAATATTAGTTTCTTTAGCTGTGAAGTGACAAAACTAACTACCCATGTCATAGAATTGTGAAGATCAATGGGATAGTGCATTTACAGCTCTTAAAGCAATGTCCAGAATGTAAGTACAATGTAAATGTCACCTGTAAGGGAAATCATAATGACAGGTGTATTAGTCAGCTTTTCTGCCACTGAGACCCAATATCCAACCTTCACAAGTTAAAGAGGGAGAGATTTAATTTGGCTCATGGTTTCCACGGAATTGAGTACGTGGTCGGCTGGCTCTAATGCAGAAACACCATGGTGAAAGTACGGCAGAGCAAAAATGCTTATTTCATGTGAGCTGGGTAGCAGAGTGGGAGAACAGTGCCAAAGAAGAAGGGACAAAGGACCAGACATAGACCCTAAGGTCATACCTCCCTGACCCACATAGACACACCCAGAAGTGTGCTCTACCAATCCCAGGGTGAATTTCAAAGCCGATCAAGTTGACACTGCACTCATAACTGCCATGTCCTATCCTTGGATGCCTCTGCCGAGGGAATGGGGAAATTTCTTCCCCTGGAAAGATAATCTCATCAAAATTTAGGAATGCAGTGTTTCCAGCCTCATCAAGTTCTTCCTCAGATCTCCATCTCAGTTTATAGGATCCCATTCTTTTCCAAACAGTGCCCTCACCTTAACTACAGATAACCCTTCATGGCTGAGCATCAGATGTGTGCTATCTTAGAAGGCTTTAGGTCATTTATGTGGGTATGGAGCTTATAACTTGAATTTTAAGCCCATGATTTTCCTTTGTTACTTTGTCCAGAGATGGATGCTAAGACTAATCAGCCAACATTATATTTCTTACTCTTCCAAAAAATGTTCAAAAGCATTGTGTATAGAATTACTAAATTCCTTCCATCTCATAAGCGGTGAATTAGGATAATCAAATGGATCTGTGCTGTGTATTACTTTTAAATAGTTCCCACCATAGACTATCAATCAGTACTCTCCATATTATCAGAAAGAGAGATCATGACAACTTTAGGTCTCACCAAATTAGAGAGCCAACTCTAAGAACCATGAAATGGATTAGAGAAATTATCCTTAAAATCCTGTTCCTCTAGAACCACTCTTGGTACCAAAATCTGTATTGGTTAGGGTTCTCTAGAGGAATGGGATCAATAGAAAATATATGTATAATTATACAAGGATTTCTTAGGTAAGCTTATAGGATCAGAGGTGGGAGAGTCCACAATGGCTGTCTGGCAGACCCCGATTTTATAACTTTGTGATATATAATAGGTAATAACTGATAAGGAACAAAATTTGTCCATAGACTGATGGATTAAGACAAGCCCTATTGATGTTAGTTGCTTATGATAAATAATAAATCAGTTTTTTTAGTGCTGAAACTTGATATAAAGAAATAAAGAACCTAAATAAGTAAATAAAGGGTATGAGAATAAAACGAGACTTTTCAGTGCTAGTAACTGGCAATAAATAGTGAAATAGAAACTCATGATAAATTCACTTCCAGAAATTTTGTATTGAGGCCCTAGAGTGCATGAGT